TACGGATTCTATTATTTAATTTATTATAATATTAATTCAATTAAATAATAGATATTGCCACACATGCATCAATTATATATTTAAAGTGTTTATATCTAAAGTTGATTGGATTTAGGGCATAACACTTACAAAAGCTGCGACTCTTTTTGAGAACAGATTAGAAAATTTGCAATAATCGCTAACGTTTAATGGAACGCAAAAATGGAAATATTCAAATAGCGCCGAACAGATACAAAATTGATAAAAAAAAAAAAAAAAAAGGTAAAAGGGGCAAGGTACGCAAAGCCTCAGTTCCAAAAAAAATATATTGGTTCACTTTAGCAAGAATAATGGGGGTATCATGAAATTGGTGGATGTAATGAATAGTAATTCTGAATTTATGATTAAAATCAAAGTTGATGTTTGACTGGTATTAAAAATAACATTTAATTTATCAAAAATTAGAAATAATCAAATTACACCGAGTAAACATATACGAATTTATAGAAAAGGGTGAAAGGGGACAAGGATTCACAAAACCTCAGTTCCAAAAAAGATTACTATCTTTAGGAGGAATAATGGTGGTATCATGAAATTGGTGGATAATAATGAATAGTAATTCTGAATTTATGATTAAAAAATCAAAATTTTAATTTATTAAAAATATTTTCCAAAAATACGCAAAGAGCTACAAACCTCTTTTTATTTTGTATTCACTTGGGGAGGAATGTAACGAATGTTTTGCCTCCAAAAAGATACTCAAAATTGTGTCATAAAAAGTCTTCGCTCATTTTGTATTGTGTTTAGGTACTTACAAACTAATCAATTATTATTTTTAACTATGTCCTTGATTGAGCCTCATTTTTTCAAAACATTATTTTTAATCATACATTTTTCAATAAAATAATTTTAAATGTAAATTGAAAAAGTTTTCTTATTTTTTAACAACACATTTTTCAAAAAATTACTATTCCAAAATACAAATTTTTTTCCTCCAAAATGGGGCTGAAACAAAGGCTATATTCTTTAAGAGGATAATTAGCACATAACGTCCCTACTTTTTATTATTATTGTGAAAAATATCAATACCTTCCATTTTTTTATTTTGGCATTTTCGCCCTTAGTTAAACTTTTGATTCCGCAAAACATCATTGTCATCTAATTTTCCAATAAAAAAAGTTGTAAAATGACAAATATACTCTCTTATTTAAATAAAATAAAAAAAATAAAGAACTAATTGCAACCATAGTTCTCAATTTATTAAAAAACTCTAAACTAGTCTCAAATAAATTATTAAAAAACTAGAAATAAAAATTAAAAGAAAAAATTGTCTTCCCCTTCTTACCTACCCTTTCTTTCCACTTCCACTTCCACTTCCACTTCCACTTTCACATAACTATGTCAACGAGTCGAGTTTATTGGATTTTTTTAAAAATTAAATGAAAGCTGCAACAGGTAGCCTTTGCTGCCTGCAAATGCAACATGTTGCTGCCAGTTGCAGGCAGCAACAACTAACATGCTTCCTTTGGAGGCACCTATTTAAAAAGAAATTTAATTAAATTTTTTTTTAAAATAATAGGTTGGCTCGCCTCGGCCACGGGTCGGCCCGGACATGAACCGATGCCCCAAAATGGGGCTCGGCTCGAGCCAGAGCCCTAACCGATTGAGCCAACGAGTTTTTTTTGCCATCCATACTTCCACCTTTTCCCACCACCAACACCATTCAATATAACTTGAAGTATAACCAAGTGAAATTACAAATTTTCGACTCCAAAATAGCTCATTTCTATTAAAATCGAATCCCATAAATTAAGCACAACAATTAGAATCAAATCAATCCCAAATAACCTAAAATTGAAATCCAAATTGGAACCAGGAATACACGGTTGAAAAAAACGGTTTCATTAGACTGTGACTTTAACCAATATAAATAATTCAAATCATTATTCGCTCATTTTGGTAGCCAAAAAAATGGTTTCATAGTCACCCTAGCCACCGGAGAAAAAGGGACAACACCCAACATCATAAATGGCCAAGCCACGGTGGACGACGCCAACGTTTAATACCCGGCTGAGGTAATTTATTTTTATTCCTATGACTTTCTTCCGAGGCTCCTTCTCTTTAATCAATTAACCATGGATGCTCAGAGGACTTTGCTCGATGAACTCGTGGGTGCCGATTAGAAGCAATTAAACATTTTCCAGCCCTTCGATTTCCATTTTGATTGTGTATTTTGCACTTCCGATAGCTTAATCAATCACAAAAGACCTAGGAGTTGTGGTTGCCTGCATGAAATTAAGCATTGAAATTGGTATTGGGGTATTTCCTGAATCTATGATTCGGATCTCCAAAATTTAAGGGGTTGTTCTCTTTGTCGTTTTCAACCCGTTTTCTGTTTTCGACTTTCTAAAATAGTGAAAAAGTGTTATGTTTCTATTTTCAAAATGCATTTTTGAAAACAAGTGTAAAATTTACAAAGAAAACCCAAAACAACAAATTTATCGTTTTGAGTGTTTTCAGTTAAAACCAACCCAAAATTTTCAAAACCCGTTTTGAGTGTTTCAACCACCGTCATCGTCACTGCCATTGCCAACCACCACTGGAGCAGCAGAACCACCACCATCGCTGCCCACACCATACCACCAACAACTACCGCCGCCGCCGCCACAACACCACCACAACAACAACAAAAACATGGCGCTTGTACCACGCCACCACCACCACCACCACCACCACCATCATCAACCCATCCATCTAACTCGATCCGTAAAGAATCATCATCTGAAGGATTTGCGTGCTCAAAGGAAGGCTGAGGAGGAGCATCTTCCTCACGCGTTGCCTCGGCTATGAGGCGGAGAACCTGAATAAACTGATTAACAAAACTAGGGTCATCGATGGGATCAGAACTGACGTGCGTTAGCACATCAGCCGGCAATGGAATTATAACATCATAAATTAATTCAACAAATCCATTCTTGCACTCGTAACATATGACATCATGAAGATCAACTAGGGTTTCGATTGACACCCGCTTGTCACAGTGGTAGCACCAGTACTGTAATAAATTTGGGTCGGATCCTGATGGTGCTCAGGTTTGGGCGGATGACCGGTCCGTTTGGGTATCTGCCATTACAGCGAGCTTTTTTCCTTTTTATTTTTTTATTCTACATACAAAATGGAAGAGGAACGGAGAAGAAGAAGAAGAAGAACGGGGAAGAGAGAGAGAAACATGGGGAAGAAGAACGGGTTGTAGGTTTTTTAATTTTCGAAAATAATTTTTCAAAATGCCAAAAAAAACATATTTTCAACAATCTCAAAATGACACTCAAAGCACAAAACTCAAAATGAATTCAAAATTCAAAACACAAAATTGAAATACAAAGAGAACAGCTCTTGACTTTTTGGCTTATGCAATTTACACGAGTTTTTTCTTCGTTTATTATTTGATCCAAAACACACTTGTATATTGGAAGTGTAATTTTTCAGAAACCCATTTTTCGAAATTTTCATTGAATTGCACTAATATAGCGGTTTGGTTTTCCATGCATGATTTGATATGTCCAGTGTTGGTGTTCCGGAGATGATGGTGGAAAGGAGTAGGTGGAATAGGTAAGGCAATTTTTAAAATTTTTATTTCTAAATTTTTAATAATTTATTTGGGATTCATTCGCACTTTTTTTAAAAATTCGGGGTTATGGTTATAATTAGTTCTTCATTTTTATTTAAATACGAGGGTATATTAATCATTTCACAATTTTTATTGAGAAATTAGATGAAAATTGATGAAAATGATAATTTTTACAATAAAATGTTGAAATATGGGTGAAAACATAAAACAATGCAACGTTGGATCGTTTTGCACAATGAACTCCCTACGTATGGACGTTTTGTACTAATAACCGTTCTTCAAGATTCAAAATATTTTTTAAACCACAAATTCTTTTAGAATCATTTTGATTGACCTGTTTGAGCCCCATTTTGGAACCCAAATTGCATTTTCGAATAGTATTTCATGTGTGGTTAAAAAATAAGAAAATATTTTGATAATAAATTATTATATCATTCATATTTCATTATCATCATAATAAATAGCATAACTCAAAAACAATCGCAACCTTCCCATTATTTTGTAATCTATTTCACATACTTACCCACGCTAATAGCATTACTCAAAAAACAATCCCAACCTTCCCATTATTTTGTAATCTATTTCACACTTACCCACGCTCCCCCTCCCCCCTCACACGTGCCATTCTCGGCAATTTTTTATTCTTCTTGTTATGCACGAATCCTCATGTGTGGTGCACAAATCAGAGTTAGAAAACCCAAACATTTGTGTGTGTGTGAGAGAGAGAGAGAGAGAGAGATGGGGGAGCAAAACCTTGCACAAACAAGAAAAAAGAAAAAAAAAACTCAACTTTATCAGTTTGTCCCATTATTCCAGTGTAATATGGTTTTATCAAAAAATGTATAATTGATAAGAAGAAACAAAAAATTGAATTATAACTTAACGAGGGCAAACAGGGGCTTAATGTCCACTCAGCCTATTCTTCTTCAAATTTTTATATACTCTCCTGTTGTGTAGTTGATCTAAGAGGATCAGGAAGCGATTTGCACCGTCTTATTTTTCTTTGGAGCCCCTTTCAGATCTCCAGCTCAACCAATCACTTTCAAATGGAAATCAAGCTAAGCCCAAATCCGATCAGCCCTCAAATCCTCCACAGCAGCCTTCTGACCATAATATGGTGATAATCAAATGAGCACTGCACCCTAACACTGCTATAGCTGGAGAGCAAAAGGTAGGGGTTTGCTTGAAACTGCATTAAGAAGCCTGTGCTTTCCCCCCTTTCCGCCCGACTCTTTGGTCTTAAGAACGCTGGTTTTTAGAATGAGTGATTGCCCTTCTCCGTCCCTTACTGCCCAACCTGAGAACAGACAGCTAATGCGTTCCTCTTATTGAACAGGGTCCTATGGTCGGTCAGTGACCCCTGGATGCCAAAGGCGCCCTTGGGGTGATCTCGTAGTTCCTACGGGGTGGAGATGATGGGGTCGGTCCATGGATTTTCCTTCCTTTTCTTTTGCCGCATTTCGCTCAAAGGGTTGAAGGGAGATAGTGCATCAAGCTGTTCGCAAGGGCCAACTTGATCCTCTTCCCCAGGGATCTCAGATGAGGGACCCCTGGGAGAGCCGCCGACTCCAACTACCGTCCATGTATGATCCATACTAGATCTGACCAACTGCCCATCCTACCTCCTCTACGTTCTTGACAGCCCATCTTTGTCTCAGTAGAGTCTTTCAGTGGCATGTTTCGGTCCTCTTCCCCATTACTTAGAAAAAGTGAGCCACCGGTTCAGGTACAAGATACTATCATTACCGCCTGGACAATTAGACATCCAACCCGTAATCGCAACGACCCAATTGCAAGAGCGGAGCTCTACCAACTGAGCTATATCCCCCCGAGCCAAGTGGAGCATGCATGAAGTAGTCAGATCCTTCTTCTATTCTTTTCCCTGGCGNATTGACGAAATGATTATAGTTTCACGATAAACGAATAAATTTGGTTTTGTCACACCACGTGACATTTTTCGTCACATGTATTGTCCCAACACATTGCTAGATGTCAATCTGGAACGACGAATGTGAATTAGAGATAAATTAAAAGGGGTGTTAATTTATCGATTTTGATTAGATTAAAATAATAATTCACGTCGTTAGGCATCGTGATTGAGAACCTAATGAGTCACACACAAAATAGAATTAGAAGAATGAAATTCATCAATTAATAATTGGGTTACTTATTAATAGACCTGAATTAATTAATTGGATTAATAATTTATGTACCAGATTTATTAGTTTGATTAATTGAATATTGGACCGAGTTAAATTTAAGAGATCGGCCAAGCCCGCTTGACCCTATATTAATAAGCTGCTAGAGTTTTAAAACCGTAAGGAATAATTCATTATTCTTGATAGCACAAAAAAAAGAAAACCCTAATCGTCATTCTTGTTTTCTGTGTGGATTACTGTTGAATGCTGGATAATTAGACAGTTTGGATTGCAGATCGTGATTATTCGAGTTCAAGAAAAGCAAAGGAGTTTGTGGAATTAGTCAAATGTATAATTCCTATCACAGTTTCTATCTAAGTACAAATCATGTCCTTGGTGGGAATTGAAAAATTATTTATTTTCCTCTGTGCATGTTAAGTAAATTCTCAACGCCATCTTCAACCGAGACTACTTGATCGATGTCATCTATCTTGTATGCCTTAGACGACTCAAAAGGATTGCATGAAATTGAAAATGATGATGAGAATAAACGAGTTAAGTTCACGAAGAAGAGGACCAAGGTTGGTATGGTGAAAACAAGATCAATAAGCAGCTTGCTTGGCAATTGATCGCAAAAGATAAGAATTATTTCATGTAGAAGAAAGTTGAATTGTTATCTGTTGTTGCATTATTAGGATAATTTGAAGGTGAATTCAAAAATGTTTTTGCTCTTTCTTTCGTGCGTTTAACTCTAGTAATAAATTTTTAATCTTTGTCATCATTTTATCGGAAAAAAATAAATGATTTATACTAATGTGTGAAACTTCTCTTATGAAAATATTATGCACCACCAAGTGGCAATTTTCTCTATTTATTTTTGACCAATTTAACTAGTTCTGATAATTGTTGAATGTACCAATATTCTTTCGTCTTTGGACACGTGAGAATAATTTCGAATGTCAAATAAACCACGTGACTATATAATTCATAGGTAAGTCTATTAATAAGTAGAAAAAAAAAATGTGGAACCATTACTCAAGTTCGTATCTTCCTTTTTATAATAATTCTTTCTTTCATCCACTAAACGTTCTAAAGTTATTTTTTTTTATTGAGAAGAATATTGGAAAGACAGTTTCAGGTAAAACAAGAAGTAGTGCCGAATGGACAGCTGACGATATTTTGAAAAGAAATTGACTTAAAAAACCGTCCAAAAAAATGAAAGAAGCCAAATTTAAAAACGAACATGCTAGTGGTACATCGAGAGTTACATCGGGGGTTACATCCCCTCACATGGGGGTGGGATCCACTTGAATAAAAAAATATTATTTCAGTGGGTCCCACCTCTCATGTGAGGGGGGTGTAACCCTTAAAGGTTAAAAGACGGCTTGAGGTGGATGACATAATAGGAATCCCAATGCATAAAAGCTATAACCGTGTGCTACTTTTACAAAGGTGGCAGACTTGGTAGCTCCTGATGAAGAACGTTCGAAGAATTTAATGAGATGGATTGAATTGCAAACGAACAAATTGCTCAAATAAAAAAGTAATCAATTCATACCACATGGATTTAAACCTGGAAATGCTGAAAGCTTCAACATTTTGGATCCAAAATGTACAAAAAGTAAAGGAGCTCCGAAAAAAAATCGTAAAAAAAATCCGTTAGAGGTGAGGTCCAAAAATCGAAGCCTCATAATAAGGTTTGTAAGTTAATAGATATTGGAGTTTTTCCATGAAGTTATTATTATGTTACAAGTTTAATTTTGACGAATTGCATCGCTTGTAGGTGTCTCGTAATTCGGCATCTTCAAATTTCCATAGTTTGCCAAAGACACTATTCTCAAGCAGTGTAGCTGTTGCGGAGGCTCAAGTGATAAACATAGAATCTTCTCAAGCACCTCAATTTTTTTAGGACACGAGAGCATAGATTTTCAATGTTGAGGAGGACCAGTTCATTTTTCTCTATGTTGTTTATTTTTTGAAGCATCCTATTCAGTAAATGTTTATGGAATTCGATAGCGGAAGATCTTTTTGAATTTATGTTTATGTACTTGAATGTAAATTGTTGATCGGATGATCATATGTATGCACGTTGGCTAGCAATTGAATGTGTATTCATTCAGTTCACGTTAGAGGATACCATTTCACAAATACCAGGGATTGTTTCCATTAACCACCAAGCAAAGAGAGGCAAACTTGAGGTTTGAATCCAATTTCACAAGCCATTCAAACGAAGAAATATGCAGATACAAGCCATTGAAGCAACCAAACATTGAATTTGAAATCATAACTAATAATTCTATCCACTTTGCAAATGCACATATTCATGTTGATGAAATTCAAATTCATACATAAACCTAATGAAGTTCATTTAATCGATTACATGTTGTAGTTTAAAATCATTGAACAAATGTTCAATTATCATTACACTTTTCCCTTTTTCCTTTCGAATAGTTATATTGAATGATATCTCCAAGTCGTCCACTTCAATCTTCAGCTGACCAAGACTATTGAACATATGTGATAAGTCTTCAATTGGGGTTTTAGCCTTATTTAGACATGAACATATGCATTTTGTTTGACTCTCACTGCAGACACTGTTAGACTGTCCTTCTTCAAATAGCAACAGTTTCTTCTTCTCGGACTTCACATTATTCCAATCGAAATAGCCACAATCTAATGTACAACACTGGAATAATCGGCCTATGTTTTCTGTCTTCTACTCTACCTCCATCAGTTACACAATTCCCTGGCCATAGTCTAGGCAACGCTTCTTATTTGGACATTCCAGCAAGCGATGCCCTAGAGTTCTACAGTTATGACAAATATCCCTGTTCTTTACTGTCATTTTAAATTTCAATTGAAACGATGATAACATCAAGTTAAATTTCAATTGAATTTTTAATTGAAGCAAGTCAGACACCTTTATTGTATACTAATACGAACCTGAAATTCATACAAACTTTTAAGCATATTGATGTACGCAAATAAGGTTCCACCCCTGATCTCGAACTCAGCAGCTTGAGCTCATTCTCTACCAATTATCCAAATAATAAGGTCGGGCTTGATAGGTCGGGCCATAATAACAATTTCCTTATCTTTATCTCACACCTTTTAGAAACATTAATCCTGCTTTACTAGTAACTCTCCATAACCTTTATCCTAATCCAAACCGCTTACCTATCACAGTTTGATCAACACTCAAACAGAACACCTTCAATACAACACAAATAGCTTGCATGATAAGGATAAGGATTACAAGTCGTTTGATCCTTTTGGAACTCAACCACCAGAATCTATCAATACAGGATTGAAGTTCATTTTTGAGGTAGGTTTTTTTACATAATTTTCAGCATATAGCCTTATGCGTAAATTCTCCCACTAACTTAAGTATTGGAGGGGAGACTATGACAAACTTCGACGCCATTGTTTCAAGTATTAAAGATCTGTTCGCACGGTATTCAAACATCAAGTTGGAGATCTAGCCGGAGTAGATTTTTGGGAGCATCACATGCTAATGCTAGAATTTTGAATTGCAAACCAACATGTAATTTTACTTATGAAGGTTTTTAAACGTAAATCTATAAATAACTAAATCTACCATAAAAACATATTATTTCCATCATTATAAAGATAAAATACTTGTACTTTTTTCTAATAAACAACTGCTCTAAAATGGGGGTTCAATTTCGAAATTGTCCATTTATAGTTGCCACTAAGTATTTAAGCTCTATTCAATCACACATACAGTATTTCGGCCAATTTCATTGTCTATGAGCCTTACATCTAACCGATTAATGAGTCGCCTTGAGGTTTCGTCCCAAAAAATGAAAAACATAAAGAGGTGGAACTCAAATACAAAGCAATAACAGAGAAAAGCTAATGCGAACCCACGTAGCAATTGTAGCTACGAAACCCACGACAAATTAGAACAACCCAAGAAATCCAAGAATCAACGTTTGAAAAGCTCGACTCAATAAATTATTGAACCAATAACCAAGACAATCGATAACAATATATTGACCCGTGATCACAAAACTTATGAATCTTACTTGAATTTGTAGAACGCCACAAGAATTTAATTTTTGATAAGTTCGAAATTAATTTAATGAAGAACGAGAAGAAAGCAAATTTGCCACCCAATAATCTCTCAATAATTTTGTATTTACAATGAATACAATGAGTCTTATTTATAGGGAACCCATAAAATCTAGTAAAAAACGGAATTTAAGTCTTAAAGATATAAAAAAATATACCATACAAGAGTTTTAACTAAAATAGAAGATTACGCGAAAATTGAAAAAATCGCGTCCTAGTTTGAACTATGCAGTCGCATAGGTGTGACCCATGCGGCCGCATAGGCCTTTCTTCAGCCTTAAATGATGTTTAGGTAAGGGCCTATATGGTCACATCTCTCATACAACTATGCAGTCGTGTAGTTGTCCCGAACAACTTCCTCGTCCGCTGCTTGAACAATATTGATCCATCTAGTTTCTTCTTCCGAGCCACCATGAAACTTGTTCCTTTATTTGTTGTGATCAA